CTTCCTGATAGGAGGCGAAACGTCAGCTGTACGTTTTCAATCTTCACGGTCGAGTAACAATTAATCCAGAGGTCAATACTATCAATCAGAGGTCAGTACTGCTATTTAAACGCTGCACGCGTACGCTCTTTCCGTCCGTGAAAAGAAAGATGGCGGAAGAACGCGGAGAAAAGCCAGGACGTCGAGGTTGTTCACGTCTGCGTTAGAAATTTGTTGTCGTCTTAAACATTGGTTAAAAAAAATTTTTTTTATCGAGTTGGATTTTGTAAGTTTGTCATTTTTCTAGTTCGTATCGATTCACTTTACGACGTAATTTCGATACGTTTCAGTTCCCCTGTCAGCAGCAAAACTCGGAGGCAAATCGCCAGGGAAGAACAGATGTACTGTCACGCGCGTGGGTGGGTGAGGGGAGGGGAGGGGGAGGGTGGAGGGGGGAGGGTGGGTGATGAGGGACCCGCGTTAACCGAGGTGGCGAACGAGAAAGTGGGAGATAGTTCCCATGACGACGAGAGCAACCGCGACGACAACGACAACGATAACGACAAACGACATGAATGACGGTCTAACGAGTAAATTGTCTAATGTGTAAAAAGACTAATTGAGTGAGTGAGGGTTAGAGGTAGAATGAGGGTTAGAGGTAGAGTGGGGGTTAAAGGTAGAATGAGGGTTAGAGGTAGAGTGGGGGTTAAAGGTAGAATGAGGGTTAGAGGTATATTGAGGGTTAGAGGTAGAATGAGGGTTAGAGGTAGAGTGGGGGTTAAAGGTAGAATGAGGGTTAGAGGTATATTGAGGGTTAGAGGTAGAATCAGGGTTAAAGGTAGAGTAGAGGCTAGGGTCAAAGTTGAGACTAGGGGTAGGGTTAGAGGTAGAGGTAGAATTAGGATGAGCACACTCACCCCGAACAAGTTGTAGGTCCCGTACGGACAGGATCAGGGTTAAGGCTAGGATTAGAGGTAGAATCAGGGTTAGTTTAGGATTAGGATTAGCACACTCACCCCGAACGGGTTGTAGGCCATGCCGGGCTGCTGGTAGGTCTGATGCTGGGGCGACGCGCCCCATCCCGGACCAGCCATAGGTGGCGCCGCGGTCGTTGACGCTGCCACCGCGGGCTGCCAGTTCATTCCGCCGGTCCTCGCTCCCTGATTAGCTGACGGCTTCCACTGATGTCCCTGCCTGTATGCGAAGAGAGAGAGGTTAGATAGAGAGAGAGAGAAGGAGAAGGGGNCGACGGGAGTAGAAGCAGCGCCCCCTAGCGAGCGTACTTGACGGCGGGTCCGTTGATGGTGAGGCTCTCGGCAAGCTGCGCGAGGCTCTGGTTCACGTCGGCCTTCAGTATGCTGGGAGGTGGCGCCCCCCGGTGGAGCTGCTGCTGCTGCTGCTGCTGCTGCTGCTGTGCGGACATGGCGGCGGCGGTCGGCTGCTGCAGTGGCGCCCCCGTGCTGCGCATCGGCTGCAGGAGTTCGCCGAACGCATCGAATTCTGGCGGGGGAGAAACAAGAGAGCGTCAGTAGTCGGCTCGAGATGCGATCGACGGGATCGACACGCAATCCGTCGCGCGTCGCGACGTATCACGGCATAGCATGGCGTGTCACGGCGTAGCATGGCGTGTCACGGCGTAGCATGGCGTGTCACGGCGTAGCATGGCGTGTCACGGCGTAGCATGGCGTGTCACGGCGTAGCATGGCATGTCGCGGCGTAGCGTGGCGTGTCGCGGCGTAGCGTGGCGTGTCGCGGTGTAGCGTGACGTGTCACGGCGTAGCATGGCGTGTCGCGGCGTAGCGTGACGTGTCACGGCGTAGCATGACGTGTCACGGCGTAGCATGGCGTGTCACGGCGTAGCATGGCGTGTCACGGCGTAGCGCGGCATTAAGTCACGACCAAACAGTTTCACTACGGTGTGACATTTCTACGCGAAACAACTACTGCGTCCGTGCACGGTATCCGCGATCATCAATAGAACAGTACAGCGATGGAACATGCAGCAGAACATATCGTCATCATGAACAGCAGATCCCACGAGAAACAACATCCATCCGCAAGTAACCGTCGTATCGACCTCGGCCGATCACGTGACCGCAGACGCGCCGGAACGCGGACGCGCGGGCGATCACTGAAATCAGAGAACTCACTGACCATGCGAGAAATCGTTAGAAGTTCACGAGACAAACAGCGCGACACCCCAACTATCCCAACACTGCAAGGCTGCGACGCGAAACGCGAGAATGTTAAGTCTGTAACCGTGAAATGCGAACATGAAACCCGTACACTCATGTTTTAGACAGTGTCATTGTTATAGCTGCTGCCCCCCTTCTTTGCCTTTCTCTCTGATAAATGTGTAGAAAAATAGAAATAAATAATAAAAACAAATATAAATACAATATAATGTAATGCAGGGTGAGAAATTAACGGGAGTCCGGAGTCAAATACTCCCTGATTTACTGTCGGACTCCCTGATTTGACATATGCAGGAGTCCGTGTGACTCCCTGAAAATTCTGCCATACTAACTAGTTCGTTCCAGAGCACGGCCTCGGGGAAATACCGTATTTTTTCAGCTAATATCCAAAGAAAATTTGACAGACGTACAACCTCATGATAAGCACATACGTTATTGTTAATATCTTTAATTTTTAACTTCAGACTGCAGACTCCCTCATTTTGCTGCGAACTCCCTCTTTTTGAGAGCAGGGAGTCCGTTGGACTCCCGTGTTCAAAAGTTAATTTCTACCCCTGCCAAAGTAACGTAATATGCACCGTAAAACAAATAAATATAATAAATACGTTAAAAAAATGCAATAAACAGTGGCATCACGATGGCTTAGCGAACGTTGCTCCCGCTACCACGAAGGGACGGCAAAATTAACGATCTAATATAACTATTTATACTGTTTCATATATATTAGATATTATCAGGAGTCTATCAATAGATTTTAGATATTGATAGACTCCAGATATTATATTTTATTAGATTATACATTATTTAATATTATATATAAACTATAGATCCTTCTATACTATTGTTGTACTACATGTACACAATACTACGTCTACTACACTATACGGTTAAACCTCGATTATCCGAACGAGTCGGGTAGGGAGTATTTTGTTCGGATAACTGATGGTCTAGTGGCTTATTAAATATTCACGCGACCTTGAGATGTTGTTCGGATAATCCGAAATTCGGATAATTGATGTTCGGATAACCGAGGTTTGACTGTACTATATACTGCATCGTAGCGTGGTGAGTGGCGCCCTCTGCTGGGAGGATGCACATGCAGCATGCGAGCGTGTAACACACACACACATGCGAAGCTCAGAGCTAGTGCGGGATCGGATGGATGCAGCCATGCCAGCCACGGGGGGGGGGCACGCACGCACACGCACACATGTACGTACGCACGCACGCACACTCACTCCACTCACTCACACTCGACGCACGACGTACGCACGCACACACGCACACACGCACACACGCACCGCGCACGCACGCACGCACACTCACTCACTCACACTCACTCACACTCACGCACGCACGTACGCACGTGCATGCAGAGTGGGTGGTGGCATTTCTAGGCTAGGCTAAGGTACTGTATATATCTACAGATCTAGTGGCCATCAGATGGAGGAGAGAGAGAGGATGCGAGAGTAACTGATGTCGGGGCGGATGCAGAGGCAAGGAGAAAGCCATGATGTAACAGTTCCACTATGTACATATATATATATATTTATATATCAGCGCGTGAAATTAGCACCGGCCCACTGGCATATGCCAGCAAATTTTTGGAGGGCGGCGCGGTAACATTGGCAAAACACACCAGCCCTCCGATCCGGTGGTTTCAGCGTGTTTAGCGAGTCTCTACGTTTTTATTATAGGCCTACATTGACTTATGGCAAATCTGCGTTGAATACATTACGAGTGAGTGAGGTATCACGCCATAACTTATCAACATTTTTACAAATTTGAAATCGAGACGCAAGCGTGTAAACATGACATTGATTTTACAAACAATATTTGTGAGGGCTGGTAAATTACGCGTGAGTGCTTGGGAAATATTACTGTTACCAGCCCTCTGGGCGCTGTGCGCAAAAAATCTGTTCAATTTCGTTGCCCTGGTATACAACCCTGTATGACAACCCGATCCGACAGGTCACTGCGATCTCGGACTAGCATTCGCTACGCCTGGCGCCGCCTAGTGAGAGCTATGTCGTCACCTCCGCCCGTACCGTCCTCCACCTCCTCCTCCCGCGACATCCCGGGCGCACGCCCCTCCTCCGTCGCAAATCCGGCAAACTGCCCCAGCGCCCCGCGTCGGCTACGCGCCCCTGGCCAACTGCGAGCTGCAACTCGCCTTCGTAATGGGCGCCCCCTTGGCGGCGGCGCGGACGCGACGCCGTGGGGGCCCGGACGGCCGACCCAAAAGATCTACGGTTCCAGCGTCGCGAGGAGGTTCGCCCCGGCAGGTGGCGCCGCCGTCGCGACACGGTGGCCGCCACCGCTGCTGCGGCAGGGGCGCCGCCACGCGTTGGAGATACAACCCCCTCGAGTTTGCTGTGGAGTGCGTGCGTGCTTGGGACTGAGCAAGCGCTCGCACACTGGGCACATCCGTCGGTCGACCGCCCGCGGGGGAGGTGCGGTTCGTGGGAGACGTGCGCGGGTGTGGCGCGGTGCGCCGAGGGGCGGGGTGACGAGCGCGCCGTCTCTCGGGCAGGCTGGGACTGATTCTGGTGGGCGGTTGCGGGAGCGACCGGCGGGGGGTCCTCCACTGCGCAGGAGATATGGCGCGGGTGAGGTTGGCCTGACGCGCTTCCCGGAGTACGGCGGCTGCGTGTGGCGGGGGAGAGGGCGCGGGTCCACCTCGCAACGTTGAACATCCCCCTGGTGGAGGCGGCGGGCCCATCCTGTGGATAGCGATGTGAGGGACTCGGCGGCAGGGCTGGGGTCTCATCGCGGAGGGAGAGCCTGCGCGACGAGCATCGACTGGAGACGTCGGTCGCCACGGCGACGGGAGAGCGCCCGAGAGGCGGCGCGGCGGAGGCGGAGGCGATGCTGGGAGACGGACGCACAACAGCCTCGGTCCACACCACCCGCTAGCCTTGCGTGAAACGAGAGAAAGAAAGAACACGAGAGAGAGTCTAGCCGAGACGCTGCTACAGCTTACACTAGCATTATTGTTAGAGCGAGTTGAGAACTTAGAGCACGACAAGACAGACGACACACACACAGGGTAATTGCGCCGGCGAAGCAGCGTGCGTCACGGCCGGGAGGGAGAGGAAGCAGAGAGACAGAGGAGAGAGAGGGCGTGAGCGATCGAGACGAGAAGCGAAGAGGAGAGAGAGTGTGAGTCACGAGAGACCGGCGAGATGAGAGACGAAGAGAGGACGAGAGAGAGAGAGGAGGAGAGCGTCACGACGACGAGCGAAGACTGACAAAGCGGAGAGAGAGAGAGATGGAGAGAGAAGACTGACGATAAGAGAGACATGATCAAAAAGCAAGCGGAGAGAGACTGAGCGATGAGAGATGCCAGCAACGCAACCCATACTGTGAGATTGAAATCGCGAGAGATGATGAGAAGATAGAGAGGAGATGACGAGAGAGAGAGAGAGAGAGAGAGAGAGAGAGAGAGAGAGATAGATAGAGCACACACTGTCACACTCTGATCATGAAGGAGAGATACAAGCAGGCTGGCACGCACACAACACAAAACCAGAGATGGTGGAGAAGGGGGGGGGGAGGCAGACACATTGCAGACAAATTCTTTTAGTGGTGGCAGACGTATAACAAAAGCATATGACATCTGCTACCAAAGATGCAAATATGCGAGCTGATATATACATATGGATATATACACACACATATGTATATATATATATATACATATATATATATATATATATATGTGTGTGTATATATATATATGTCGACGCTTGCATAAGTCATGAAGATGCCACACGCACGAACACGCACGAACACGTGTACGTACATGCACGCAAACGCACGCACACGTGCACGTACATACACGCACACGCACGAACACGTGTACGTACACGTGTACGTACACACAGAGAAGCAAGCAAAAACTTTTGCACTTAGCGACACCTAGTCTTAAGATTAGTCATAGTATAGTTCTAACGTATCGTAATACTACTGTTGCTCATAGGGTCTATGTCCCCCAGGGTACTGCCGGAACGTACCCTGGGTACCCTGGTAACTATCTGATATGGTTAGGGTTAGGGTTAGGGTTAGGGTTAGGGAGCAGGCGTAGGCGACTCCCTAGACTCGTTAGTGAAGTAGGCGAGGTACGGTCCGGCATATTAGATAGTTACCAGGGTACGTTCCGGTATACCTGACCGTACCCAGGGAACGTTCCGGCAGTACCCCGGGGGACATAGACCCTGGCAGCGCCACTATTGTAATGCTACTCTTCACACGTTTTCTTCCAAGTTTACGCACGTTGTTACAACTCCTTCGTGGAGAAACTATTGCAATGACACGTACGTCTATTATTATATATATATTATATTATTATTATGTATATATATATAATAATAATGTACGTGGAAGCACACTGATTTAGCACGTGCTCGAAATCTGTCTCCATGTCGCGATACATTCATACTTTTGCTCTCGCATCATTTGCATATATATAATATATACCATTATTATATATATAATATATATCATTGTATATGTATTGTATATGCATCATTTGCATTGCTGCTTTCAAAAGTCATCAGAATCCTCACACTGTCGTAGCCCTACAGAATCCTCGCAGCCCTACGATAACAATTATCATACTAGCTTAACGCGTGGAAATGTTTAACGATTAATTAGACTAGCATATTAGTCACTAATTAGACAACGATTAAAACGTTTCTCCGACAATAAAAAAATGAAAAAGAAAAAAATTATAATTATAATAAGTCATGCTAACGTAAAGTTAACGGATACGATTATAGTTGGAAAGTTTCGCGTCACTAACTTTGCTATCGTTTCGACAGTGCACCTCTGGACCTCTGCCATTCACCTCAGACTCCCGTAGCATACGCGTAGTGTTTAAATTGACTACATCACGAATTTTCTACGGTGTATATTTGTAATAATTTTGTTGCCCTTTTTTTACATTAAAGGTAAGAACTAACGGGACGAAATGTATCGTCAAATTCTTACCTGATAAGATTGTTTCTCAACTAGTTAAACATCCAAAAAACCTGGACGATTTGATATTATGATCCTGACATTAATTGCTTGCTATGGGCTATGTATGAGTCACGAGTATATGTTCACATCAAACAATATAGCAAAACAGGAAGTATAATGCAGCAATTTAACCATAAAAAGTGAACAGAATTGCTTATATTTTGTGAAAAAGTGGAAATATTTTTTTTTACTTTAACTATTAACGGTGGGTGACGTAATCACTTTAAATTGTATTAAATTTAAAAATTTGTTTAAAAAATTTAAATTAAATTAAAGTTAATTAAACGCTTAGATCGTTTGCGATAGTCGTGTTAACGTAGGTTTTGCGTCGTGTTAAAATAGTATCCACATAGCTTCTTTACATATATCTTAAAAGTTCATAGTCGGATTTTTTTTTAAACATTAATAACATCATTGTTCATGGTTAAATCCTTAAATTGTTTACCTTGACAGTTTCAGCTGTCGGTCTGACAGCCATCTTCAGAATTTCTGAATTTGTCACCAGATGGCAATAGGTGACAGTGACCCGAAAACTGTCATATGTGTACGCCAACATTCTCAGGCCCAGGACCAGACCATCGGCCCCGGGGGCCCCACCGACCAACATCTGACAGTTTTCGGATCACTGTCACCTACTGCCATCTGGTGACAAATTCAGAAATTCTGAAGATGGCTGTCAGAACAACAGCTGAAACTGTCAAGGTAAACAATTTAAGGATCTAACCATGAACAATGATGTTATTAATTCTTTACATATAATTTACACAGAACGTATGTAGCTCATGTATGTAGGTATTTTACGTGGTATTTCGGCAGCATTCGCATAGCGTTTGCGTAGGAATTTCATAGTGTTTACACATCGATTACCTAGCACTTAGTGTGAGTTAATTCACGCAAGCACACACATGCACGCACGCATGCACGCACGCACGCACGCACGCACGCACGCACGCACGCACGCACGCACGCACGCACGCACGCACGCACGCAAGCACGCACTCACGCACGCACACACGCACGCACGCACATACGCACGCACGAGTCTGGTCCCCGTTAAATATCTTAGTTAGCGAGTGAGACTAATGCGCTCGTTAGTAAGCGTTAGTTAGCAGGTAGGTGGCGCCAGGGTGCTCGCGCGAGGGGAGATTCCGCCGCGATACTCACGTCCTGATTGGCTGCTCGTCGTCGTCATCTGCTGCGCCTCCTGGTGGCCGAAAACGGAATCAAACTGCGCGAACTGCGCCGAGCCTTGCTGCTGGAAACCTGGAAACACGAACACAGACGTTCTATTGTCACTCGTCGACGACGCTAGCAGAGATTTCGATCGAGGGCACAGAGAACACGAAGAGGAGCATCTGAGCTGGAACTTTGAAATTGTGTTTCGGTCTTGTCTGATACTGTACTAATCGCCTGGTGTGGCTATAGACGTACAGCTCATCATGCAGCGCTTTGATGACCTAATTTTTCTTCACATTTTCTTCACTGCTGTTAATAAAATGTTTGTATTTTTGAATTTTTGAAAACGTCGATAGTAAATTGTTTGCAGACGAACACTGGCTGGTACGAGTTACAGAGAGTTACAGAGAGTTACAGAGAGTTATGAGTTACAGAGAATGTCTTTGTGAAGAGAACAGATGCCTATAGACACAGAAGAAAGAAAGACAGAGAGGGAGAAAGGGGGGAGACACAGAGAGTGTGAGAGAGAGAGAGAGAGAGAGAGAGAGAGAGAGAGAGAGAGAGAGAGAGAGAGACAGACAGAGAAAGACAGACTTCGTTTAGTGTAGTCACGATCGAGTAAATAAAAAATTACATTATAATATAGTAGAAAAAAATCATGAATGAAAAAACATATTCATAAAGGTCATTATATCTGTATGAATATATATATGTCTGTGTGGGTGTTAAGAAACAATATCATTCCTGATTTTTAATTCGACGCTCGTGTGACGTCATTGTTTTATGTGGAGACGTTTTACGCATAACGCATACCGCGACGTGGCGCTGCAATCGCTGCAAGCGCTGCAAGCGTCTATACTGACAATGTCAAATGTATTGTAATTGTAATGTATGTCAATGTATTGACTCTATTAATGTCAACCCTGCACAGCAAAATAAAACTCAGTCATACAACTCTGTGATATTTATATTGGCCTAATAACACGCGAAGTATCAGCCACGTATATATAACACATACATAAACCTTCCAACAGGTTCCCTCTCCCCCCTTAACAGCCACCCCT